AAGTTTTTTTTTTGTTAATATAGATAGATTTTTTAATAAAAATAGTTATTTTCATTTAATAAAAAAATGTAAAGTGTAAAAAAATAAAAACAATAAAAATCAATTAAAATTGTATTATGATGTATAAGTATTCGATCTTGTTTATTGTATATTATACGTAAGTAAAAATTATTTGCAAGTGCTTCTTTGAAATGTTACGTTCTCAGTACTTTAAATTGCATAAATACGATTCGACAAAGCTCACAATGCGATCGAAATTAATAGATATTTATAATGTTCACAACTTTATTATCAATTTTTGGTCAGTAAAATAGTGTACATTGCTAGTTTTTATAATATAATATCAAGATTTCACTAAATATATATATCTCCTATTATTGTAACAATATAAATGCTATAACTTAAGTCACTAAAAATTTATCATCAATATTTTGAATATTACCGTGAACATATTCTGCTTTGAGTACTTTTTTTAAATTTTCAGATATAAAATATTAACTAATCTACTAAATGGTATCCATTCGATCACATCATAAGAAATGGCTTTAAGTTGAAGTTTTTTAGAGGACAATGGATACTCCACGTTGCACAATCTTAACCTTTTCAGAAGCATTTGCTTCAATATTAACAATAAAGAGCAAATCAGAACGATCTTCATTAAGATAAACCGGAAGGTTTATAGTTGTTTCAGTAACTGGAGTAGCTTCCGTCTTTCTAACCCATTTAATTTGAGAAATATCTAATTTGGTTGTTGGAACTCCGCAGAGACTCACATGATTGCCTTCCCATACAGCACCTACATGAGTTAACAAATATTAATATTTCATCAAATTTAGTTAAAAGTTAGTAATGGAAACTTGATAAACATACCTTCAAGTTTAAGCCCTAAGAAACGTTAATATAAAGTGAAGATTTGTACACGTTAGATTTTGTTATTAAACACATTCCATATCGAAATCAATAAACTCTCGTTTGACCATTACCAGTTAATGCAAAAGAATCAGGATCTCCACTCTTGTTGAGAGAAATTTCTAATACCAATTCTTCTAAAGACCATTTATGTTTTTGTGCTACTGCCTGACGGGTAGCTGTGATGAATGCTTCGGGCATGAAAAGACCACCAATCCATACTTGTAAATCTAAAAAGTCATGTAATTTTGTAATGTTTTCAAGTTGTTGAAGCCTGCTTCTGAAATCAGCAATCCAATGATTTATGGATACAGTTTTAAGGACTTTATATTTTCGCCAGTGATCCGGTATAATACCTTAATTTTTAAAATTATAATAAAATTACTTAGGAATTGTTAATTAAATTAAACAATTTACACATAATACAAAACTCAACAAACCCTTCGTAAGACAATTCAATAGCATACGCAAATGATTCGTTTGTTTGAGTTCACCTTTGAATTGCAAAAAAAATTTTTTTTTTAGTTCGATTTTGGCGATAAAAATCCAAATTTAGATAAATACCTTTGCAAACTCTGCAGATGTCGTCGAGATCTTGACGAATTTTTTTGAGGAGACTACGTCCGATTGAGTTTTCACGATCGAAAAATCTGAATAACGGATTTTTAATACTTTCAGAAGTACGGTTCATCATTGGAATTTTTGACGGAAGTACTTCTAACCATCCTTCAACAGATGCCTGTAATGCACGCATCCAGGCAGGTTGGGAAGATGACTGAGAATCAGACTCTTGAGAAAGTTCAACAACATCATCATCAGCCGTATTTTTCATTTTCCTGATCTTCACAAGCATTGCATAACCTACATATTAACAAAATGAGAATTGTATTCATGGGTACACACAATTGATTAGAAATTTCGGAAATAGCAACCTACCTTTGCTTGTGGCTAAAACTCTTTCTGCATTGCTTGGCAATCCTAACCATATAGGTGGCTCGCGTTCTGGGAGATTATCGATCCAATTTACAAAGTCTTCCATTTTTGTTCCATCAGGGATAACTAGTTTGTGCGAGTCATCTGAATCAACAAGCGGAAATTCAAACTCGTAAGCAGCGGGTGAGAATAAACCATTTACGAAACATTCGAGAAGACGCTTGTCAAATTCATTGTCGATACGGCCACCATAGCCAGCAACACAGATTAATGTACGAAGTGCCTCCCAGGGAATTTTATCTGGGGAAATGTTTTCTCTATTTTGAGCGACTGAATTCAACCACGCGTCAATGGTGTTAATTGCAAAGTCTTGATCAGAATCATTAAACTCGTAAATCTTGGTCCAACCGAGTGGTGCGTAGCGAAGACGTTCTTGAACGATAGCATGCAACCATGCAAGCATGAAGTAGAGACGGACACGCTCTCTTGGCCCTTTTGAGTACCGTGAATGTGGGATACTCTTAAGTGAGTCTTGAAGGTTTGCCTTGATACCTGGTAGAGGCTCGAACATAAGTACACGTGATAATCGCAACAGATTAACTGGTACCTACAAGTAATTATAATATACAAATTTGGTTAAAGATGATTAATATCTCGGTTGTCATAAAAAGGCATCATAACCATACCTTAGGATTTGTCTCCATGGTGAGGAAAAGCCTAAAGTTTCTATGTGCTTTCATGCTATGCAATTTCTTTTCAAGTTGACCTAACCATGATGTAGCTAAATGAACATTTTTCAATAAAACCCAATTTCCATTCTTGACCGCGTTTGCAATAGCATTATCGGCCAAATTAAAACCTTCCTGAGAACCCATGGCAACAGATGTGCATTTGACCCCAACATCAGACACAAGATTATCCACACGGTAACTTGCATCATATCCAGGAACAGAACATAAAGAAATAGGTGTAGTAGGTTGAACTTCATTTAACACTAATGCCTTAAAGTCCAATTCTGTTTGAGAGGCGAAGCCTGGCTCAAATGCAATAGATACAAATTCGGACACTGTAGGAATAAGTCTATCAGGGCGGAAACATTTGATAATCAATATTTTACGTAATTGTATAACAGTTTCTGTATAAAAGTTTTTTTTTTTTTTTAAAAAAAAAAAAAAAGTGTTAGCATGTTTGAAAACTGTTTGCAAACAAACAGAAAGCAAATGTATATATAGATTATAAACAGAAGAATTAAAAGTTAAACATACCAGGTAATGAAGAATCCCACCAATCAGGTATGTGATTTTCAGGCGAATCATGATTCATAAATTTCACCCATTCATCAATATTATCACTAATATGCCTGCTAAGTCTATTGAAACATTGAAGAGCCGTGAATTCTTTTATTTTACAAAGTTGATCACTATCAAAAACATTATCAGGTAATCCTAGTTCTCTTGCTGTGACTCTTGATCCAGGTACAACATCGCCACCGCTTAGCATAAAATCGTATTCAGATTCATCAACTTGGCCAGGAGACCCACGAAGTTTAATTTGAGCTAGTAAAATTGCGAATGTAACATAGTCCTCATTTAGCAAAGCTCGCGATACGCGCTTGAAAGTTACTTTAAAAAGATCACGGATGATAATCCTCAATCTTTCATCGACATCAGTAACGTTTGAGAGGTTTGGATTTTCATGAAGGATAAATTGGAATATTTCATAGAAATATTCGAGAGAGAATTGATAAAAGTGATGTAAAATGTTTATTTGTTCCATAACAAAGAAAACAGAGCTACAGGCTTGAGCTAAAGGAGTGTATTGTGCTGTAACTCGTTCAACTTCTTGCATAATAGTGTCAGTTTCTTCAACTTTTCGAGTAATTTCAGCAGCCTCTTGTTTCAATTTTTCCAATGTACCCAAGATTTTAGTATCATCCAAAATATTACCTTTGGATTCATTTAAAGCCTGCAAGAGAGATTTTTCGAGATGTCTCAACCTCAGTTTAAATTCACCTTGAAGTTTGACTAAATCTGTTCGTTTCTGATCCGTATCAGGTCGTTCAACTTTAAGGACTTGATTAAGACATTGACTTTGTAAACTGCTACGTGTCACGGTAAAGTTAACGAATGTTACTCTACTGCACACATCTGGAGGGAAGTTTACAGAAGGATCACGGGTTGAAAGGAAAAGTGTAAATGATGGTGAGAAATCAATATCTTGTCCTCCCAATCTTATTAAAACACGGCCACCAGTACGGCGCAATTCTTTGTTAAGAACAGGATTTAAAATAGGGTCAAGATGCTCAACGTCTTGAATAAGTAATGGATTACCGAAACGAAGAGCACTTTCTAAGTTCTTAATAAATGAATCATCTAAGAAACTAGTAATAGTAATTTTTTTGTTTTTAAATTCATTCTTTAAAAATGAAGAAGCTTGACCAGATGGGTCAATAATGAGTGGATATCTGTTGAACCTCTTAAGCATGATGGCGTTTTCAGTACATAAATCATCGGCCGGAAGAGAATTTGCTTGCCATGAAAGACGATCATCTGCTGTTGACAAATATTCTGTCAACGAAAGTTCTGGCTTATATTGAATTTTAGCGTCGACTAAATGGTTTGTCCATTTTTGAAGTAATATTTCACGATATTGCTGGTCGAAATATCCACCATAGGCGAGAAATGCTGCAGAAAGCAATACATCACCTACAATTGTTCCCATCTGCGTTTCAAATGCTTGACTACCAGACACCCATCTTTCCTTTTCAGATGATAAACTTTCAAGTAGAGTCATACTTCTTTCTACTTTATTCTTAACTTGGCTCATATCATCTTTAATAGCTTCTTTAGCTTTAATTAATTCTGCATATTCTTCCTTATATACTGCTATTTTATTTTCTAAATCTTTGATCATTTGCTGCAGACTCTCAGCCTGCTGTTGAGTTTTCTTTTGTTCTTCTTTTAAGTCCTCCATTTCTTTACGCATAGGACCAACTCTATCCAAAATACCTGAATAACTGACTTGAGCAATTACCCATTTAACCAAAGGACCACATGCCTTACTAGCTCTGTTTACAACATCGAAGTTATAAGTAGGTTTGGAAATATATTCTGAATTAATTTTTTCTCTCACATGTTTGGTCAATTTGTTAGTATCGTATTGAACAATACTATTAATAAAGTCGTCACTTCTGATGATTCCTTGCAATTGTTGCCAACTATCAGCTCTTCTACCAAGCAAAAGACAAACTGAAGTCATCGCCATTTTCACAGCCTCAGGAGGATTATTCATTGAACGCACTTCTGTAAGATGTTGTCTAGTAATACCTCTTACACTCCTTTTAGCGTCCTCAACAGCTGGTTCAGCTTGAGCTAAATCATTCATTACTACTTCACGACGTTCTTCAATTTGTTTAGTTTGAATGTCGAGGGCTTTCGAAAGTTCTACTGAAGCTTTTTTACGTTCTTCAGCTTCGCTTTGATCCGCAACCAATTTCTGAAACTTTGCGTTAGCTTCACGCTCCTTTTCTTTAAGCGCTGCATTCTTTATATCCAAATCACTACGAAGTTGATCAACAGTAGTAACAGTTTCTCTTAATTTATCTAACCCAATGTTCAAATGACGCTGTTGTTCCTCAAGATCTTCACGTTTCTCATTGAATAATCGTACATAATGGTTAATAAAGTCCAAATAGTGTCGTGGTGTCACATAATTATAACGACCTTGGCGTTTGCTCAATTTTGCATTAATTTCGTAAAGAGATTGATGAACAAAAACGAACGCATTTACAACGGCAGAACGATGTGAAGGTTGCGGTGGCAATAATCTATACGCAGTAGGAAAGTTGATAGGAGGTGTATATGTCTGAAGATCCAAGTCCAAATTTTGGGTGAATTCCATGCCCACTTGGAAGAAAGCTTGATCTGACCAATCACCGAACCAATCTAAAACACAACGATTGAAAAGAGCAGGAGATGTTGCAGCACGAGAAGCAAGGCCACCTTCTGGAGGATTCATTGTAAATACAACGTGCAGGTTTTTCATTACTTGTTGTGTGAACCATTTATATAATTCTTCAGGAGAATCTAACATTAACCCATCTCTCTGAGCACCCTCCTTACAACTTGTCATTAATGCATTATATTCATCACCCTCGAATAATCCAGGAACTTCTGCATTAGCAAGAAGTGTATTCATACGTTCCAAGAAACCAGAGTCTAATACATTTGATTCATCCATTACAAAGCAAATTTTTTCTCCTTTACAGCCAGCCCTTCTTAAGACTGTTCTTAAATCTTCATCGAAATCATCACCAGTATACTTGTTATGTGCTTTAATTTGGAAGACACTTAATCCATTCATCCAAGCAACAAATCTTGACAAAGTAGTCTTACCGGATCCACTTACACCGATTAAAAGTAAATGTCCTTGCATTTGTCTAAATACACGATCAATACGAAGAACATGGTCTAAGACATCATTAAACAAGACCAGTGGGACGTCTAATTCTTCTTCATAAAAGACTTTAAGACGAGCTTTAACGTAATCACGCAATTCTTCACGTTCAACAGGGATATAATGTTTGGACAACCAGTTAGAGAACAAAATTGGTCGAGTCAAAGCTTCGGAAGAGTTCAAATTTGGGAAATGTTTCATAGCAGTGGCATCAATGTTATCGTCAGTCCATTTTCTCTCTTCTTCGGTAACAAGACGGTCTTGGAATAATCGCAAAGCCTCATGTGCCCAAATACGAATCAAACCTTCAAGAGAAAGGGATTCCAAAGGCTTAATTGCCTCAAAAATACCTCGCATCCATCTGGTCAATTCACGAGGAGAATAAATGTAATGTGCTTGCATATCAGGAGTAAAATGTTTCTGGGACTTAAGATAGAATTCGACCATCGCAGCTGTAAGCGGTTCAGCATACGCTCGAAGTGAAGGAACAACTTTTAACATGGCTCGAGCAAATGTTCCGTAAATCTGATTAAGGGAAATTTCACCAGGATAATCAACCATCACTAAAGGAGCATGACGAAGGTATCTATGAGTTAATGGAACACGTCCAGGATCTGTTGGGGGGTTACAAGCTCCGACAAATTGTATTCTTTCCAATTTAACCCATGCTTTATCTGATGTTCTCCAATAGCCACCACATTCAATTAATTGTCTTAAAAATGAGATAACACGTTGAGTTCCATATTGATCAACTGCAGGAAGATTGATTTCATCACAAAACACCACAATCCAGCGACCAATGGCAATAGGGGATAAAATTACCCCAGTTGGAGTCTTACGATATTCACAATATTGTTCAAATGTTTTTAAAATCAATTCAGGGGTGGTTGCACTGGAAAAGTTGAGACCGACAACTTCCATGTCTGGTAATTTTCTAAGGGCACTAAATAATGTCATGGTTTTTCCAGATCCAGGAGGACCGCATAATAAAAGAGGTTTGTGTTCTGAAAGCCAGGAATACAATATTTCTTCATGACGAACAGTATCAACTGTAGGAACAACCACATCAGCCTCAGATACAGTATGAGTTTCAATTTCAATAGTTGGAACTTTGCCAGTCCATGATACCCAATCACCATTACTGATTTGAACATCATAATCGATGAGAGTTGAACCCACTTGCGCAGGAGGCAAATCGACTACATACACATAAAATAAAAATTAGATATGGAACTGGAAGGTTGGAAATATATAAGGAAAACGCCATAGACTTTACCTGTAGCTATTCCACGAACAAAATCGCCTAGCACAGCACGGTAATCTAATTTAGCATCCCCAGAGAAACTCCAAATAACACCAAGAACTAGGCGCTTAGTCACATAACCATCTAAATGTTCTGCTGTCATTGGGAAATCAGGATGTTGTACATTGTATTCAATTACATTACGTACAGTTTTGTTTAATAAAGAAAATAAAGTATTCAGCACGCGCATATAAGTAAAGTCCATAATATGATCCAATTTCTCTGCCTCCATAAGAGTTCGTGTGACTAATCCTTCTTCAGTCATATGTTTACTAAGTATACTAGCAATATCACGTTGTGTACTAAGATGTGGGGAGATGGTCTCTTCTCCTTCAACTCTATGAGTAGAGGCTCCTTCTTCTTCACTTTCATCCAAAGGAACAGATTTTAAAGTTTCGAGATAATTATAATAAATCATATCAAGAGTAACCACTTCCTATAAATCACAAAATGTGAATTAAAACATTGACATCACCATGAAATCTATATTATAATCATATTATAATTAATCATCACATACCGAAGAGAACCACACCATACCACAACGACTAACAGTAGCTAATGTTGCATATTTCAAATTTTCTACTTCAAACATAATACGGACATTATTCGGAAGACTTAAACGTTCACCATTAGGGAGAGTTAATAATCGATTGTCGTCCAATACAGAATTTCTGTTAACAAATTCAAAAAATAAAGTAATATTATGGTTAATGATAGTCAATAAAAAACTCTATAAATTCGTGCGACAACACGTACAAATTTTCAACCCATTCCGGATCCACATCACCATCAAATATAATCCAATGTCTTTTAAGTTTTTCACCACGAACGTTGTCAATGATTTTACGTAAAATATGGGTGAATAAACCATCCGTCCATTCACGAGTTGTTTGGTCCAAATTACCATAGAGAGCATCTTTGGACACAGCTTTAGGATCAATAACGTATGAAACACCTTCACGCCCTTCAACTCGCTCCAAAGCTTGAAGCAATACTTTCCATGCCATTGATTTACCTAAAAACAATAAATTAATAATTATGAAAGCAATTTATTAAGAGATAACATTATTTAACTAACCAGAGCCAGACGGTCCGACCATCATAAGACCATGATGAATATTTTGAATTTGATAAAGTTGAAGAACTTTTTCTAGCCACATTTCACCATCAAGAAGGCATTTCTCATTACAAACATTTTTAATTTCTGCTTTAAGTTTATCAAGGTCTACCGGTGCATACTCAACGCCAGGGAAAACGTCAGCAAGTAAACTATACAAAAAAAAAGATGGTCCAATTAGCATTTTCGGCTAATCATTAAAAGTAATATTATTACCAACCTAGTTAAAAGGGGAATATCATCAGATACTAATTTTGGAACAATAGTTTCACGAATACTTTGAATCAAAATCTCTTGCTCAGGTGTAGGTTCTGAAATTCTGGTATATTCTGATTTGTCTGAATTGCTTTCTCTAAGTACTTGAAGGCGTTCACGTTTCAGATTACCGGCACTAACAAGCACACTCTTAAGGGCTCGAAGACCAAAATCGTAATGTGCTTGTGGAGAAAGTTGTTCAGCACAAAGGTTGAATAACGGGACAACCTTTGAAGCGAGAGTTTCTGCAGTTCGGAAGCCTTGAGAAAACAACATTACTTGTGCGATTAATTCACGATCTGGTTTTGTCATAGCCATGCTACGGAAGAGTTTCTTCAAGTTGTCAGGTAGATTGGAACGACCAGCATAGCCAGGATTCATAGTAATAAAGATACCTAAATATATATCGTTTGATAATAAGTTACTAATAAAACATCGATTAAATCATAATGAAATCTTATAAACTCACCGGTATTGGCATTAACTTTAAGACTTTTGCCAACAATTTCAACTTCAGCATTTGGATCATCTATAACAGCCTTAAGACCAAGTTGAATAGTTTGCACTTGTTGAGAAACAGCTGATAAAATTCTTTCTTCAAGACGATTAAATTCGTCAAAGCATCCCCAAGCACCGACTTGACAAAGCCCGACGAAGATACGACCCATAGCTTGGAAATCGAAGTTTTCATCACAACAGAATACAAGTACAAATCTTCCCAACTATATTGACAGTTTATAAGATTATTTCTGCAAAGAAAATCAACTATAAAAATTAATACGATCCATGTAAGCTATACCTGAACACCAAGGGCCTTTACAGATTCGGTTTTACCGGTTCCTAAAAATTATAATTTCCCATTATATACTATTTATGATCAATTTTGACAAACAGGAATATAACATACAAATATAAACATACCACTGTTGAGGTCAAAATATATCAAAATATATCATATGAATCGTTAAAAAAGCTTTCGAATTAATCTGTTAAATACAGTATCATGAAAAACCAAATAATACTTACGCAGCTGCAGAGTAGAAATATAAACTTGAATATATAATAGTGGAAAGTAAAGATGTGTATGAAAACAAAAACAAAATACTTACGTCCTGTTAAATTTATAATAAAAAATCTTAAGTTAGTAATTCGCAGCAGCACTACATTAATGAATAATAATAAAATAAAAAGAACGAGACGAACCAAACGGAGAGCCACCCAGTCTGGCTTCGAGTGCTTGAGTAAGAGTACAATAACATCTTTACATTGTGTGAAGAAATTAAATATTAAAATATTATCAAAATTATGATAAATAACTCATTAGATAGTTAACAAACCTATCAGTAAGCGGTGTTTGCACCAAACGATCGGGTACACCAAGGTATTCGTAACCATAATAAAATTGAGCATTTGCCATATGAATGGTTAAACGTGATAGTGGATCTTCAGCATTAGAATTGAAATAGAATCTCATGTGATATAGCCATGCAAAGTCCTTGGGAGAAGAAATTTTATCACGTTGCAATTGACGGATAGTATCACGTTGATGCACAAGCTCAGTGATTAAATGTTCACATTTTTTACGTTGTGTTGAGACCAAGTCTTGAAGTACAGTATCTGCTAAAACATCCAATGCACGCAACACATACTTAAGAGATCCGCTTAATGGTTCATCATCTTTGCCATATTGTTCAAGAGATTTTTCAACTGATTGAGTCCAAATAATTTGCACTGCAACTACAACTAATTGTGCTGGATACTTTTCAATCCATTCCAAAAATGTCTTTGTAACTAATTCTTCAGCTAAATAGAAAGGACTCAATTCATTTACAGCATCTTTCAAACATTCTGCTAGTGAAATACGCATTTGAGTTTCAATCATAGTCAACCTATATGATTAAAAATATCAAATTATTAAGAAGTAAGAAGAATATAGATATATAAATCAAAAGAGAGATTTTATACTTGCCAATCATTTATACGCGAATAGTCACTGATTTTTATTGGAGTTTTGAAAGGAACTTCCTCGCCTTCTCGTGATGACATACCAAGAATAATACTGCAGTCTTCATTAAGAATAATATTGGCAACACCCGCAAACATTTTCTTGAAATGTTTTTGAATACGAACGACATCTTTACTATTACCAATAATTTCAAGTAAATCTTCGTCACCCACAAAATAGAAACGGGGGAAAGTAGAACGTTGACGTTCAAGATATTCACCAAGTGCCTTTTGAATTTTAGACAATAGATCAGCTAAACGCTCCAAAGACTTTTGAACATTTGCAATGTTTAGAACATCTAAAACGAATGGAGACTTGTACACTTTTTTCATAACAGTCAAGAATTCAGTATTTATAGATGAAAAACGTTGAGTTTCAACTGGAAGCAAATGTTTAATGTCCGCGCTTCCACTAAAAATGCCTTCTAAGTATACCCATTGACGTTGAACATCGATCCAAACATCGAATAAGACATGAACTCTATTTAATTTATCTTCCCATGCTGAAGCATCTTCCTCAAATGCTTTGTAATAAGGTGACATTTTCATTGCAGTTAAAGAATTGAGATTTTCGCTACATTTAGTAAAGAGCTCGTCCCATCCTTTGATAAGACGACATTTATTTTGATAATTTACAAGTTCTAGGACATATGAAGTCCAGGTTTCTTTCACTTGTTTCAAGAATTCTTCCAAAGCCATTTCTCCAGTGGCTTGGACTACAATGTCTTTTATAATTTGTTCATTTTTCTTAAGATCAAAATCCCAAACGTGGCCAACTGACATTTCGGCTAAGTGGAAACGGCCTTCAACTCTAAGAGCCTTAAATAATTGCCTCCAATGACGTTCTTTCAATGCTTCAGATTTGAGATCAGAAAGAATTGGATTTATCTTAAGGTAGGTTTTAACGGTTTCTTGTACATAATTAAATGCTTCATATGAACGTATGCGACCTGGCATTTCTTTAATAGAATTAAGAAGATTATCCAATTGTTGTCGAATTTTTCGTGGAACTACCGATGACCACAAGGTTTCTTTTAATTCATTGATTGATTGCCAAACTTTTGAAAGAGAACTCCAGACTGATTTGAGGTCTTTAAGTTCTTCAAGAACAATATCTAAACTGTCTTCAGTAGCCAAGGCCATGTCAAGTGCTTCTTTTGCACGACAAACCATGTCATACTCATCCTTAAGACGAGTAACACGACCTTCATAAATTTGGAGTGTATTTGTAGCAATGTCTGGTTTGATATCTCCTTGAATTGGTTTACTAGTTTTCCACTCAGCAACAATCTTTTTAATTTTATCTTCAACATTTTTATCTTCGGCAACAATCTTCAATTTCAATCCATCTATAACATTTCAAGAAAAAAATATGAATAGGAAATTAAATACATATTCAAGCTCATAAATAATAAGATTAATAAATAATTACCGATTTGATCTTGGATTTGATTGTTCTTTTTGTTTAAGATTTCGTTAAAAGCACTCCATTCACCGTCGATTTGTTCAATATGCAGCCAATCACTTGGAAATTGATATCTTTGTCGCTCCAAGGTTTTTTGACCTTCCCGAAACATTTCAACATCCAAGCTCCATTTGTTAACTTTACGTTTGAGATCCTGCACAAAAGTAATCAGGGCAACAGCTTCACTTGTATTATTGCTTTCCATAGATTTATTTTCAAGTTCTTTGCGAGAATTTGAAACATCAGCATGAAATTCTTTCATACAATCACCAAGTTTCATACCAAATTTAGCAAGAACATCACGTTGCCACTGATCATATTTGGCATTGACTCTGGTTTGTGCTTGTTCATAATTTACTGCAATAAAGCCAAAGGAGCGTTCGACTTCTGAATTATCAAATGTAGTACGTGATTTTTTGATTTCCGATAGAATTTGTTTCCATTTATTAAGATCATCACCAAGTCGATCATAAATATGATTGGGTTCAAGATCCCATAATGACTGAAATTGGAGCCATTTGTTAACATATTCAGATACTTCTTTCAATTTGGCTTCAATAACTTCATATGCTTTCTCTAGTGAACCATCAGGAATTTGTGCTAATAAGTTGGAATAAGTGGTTTCTCGAGAAACACTGGATCCTCTAACTTGTAGATCAATATCATAACGTGAACCTTGAATTCTTGATAAATTGCATACAACCGCTAATATAATTTAATAAAGTAACATCATTAATAAAAAAATTTTTTTTAGCAATTACAACTTATAAAGGAATAAGAAAAAGAATCAGACTTACAAAGCCATTCGTGTAATTGATTATACCATTTAGTTCTAGCATCCTCAATTGGTGGATCCAGATAAATTACTTGATTTTTGATACGTACTGTATGAACAGAACGTTCAAGCACAGGTTTTTCAGATTTTGCAGTTAATGGTCTTTCACCATCAATAGAATCGGTTCTAGTAGTTCTACGCCTATTCTTCAAAACTTTACTAATTGAAGATTCATGAGAGGTTGGTTCAGTAGTATTCATAGTATCGTCATTAGATGACATAAATTCAGTTGTCCATGAGGTTATAGCATGTTGTAGCCGTTGAGACAAGACAGTTTCGATTCTTTTATCAAGCTGTGCAACCCAAGCATCAAGATTAGAGTAAGATTCAAGATTAAGCCTGTCAATCTACAAATATAAAACATGAAGGTTTTAATATATTGATTACTTTTTAATATATATTGATGACTTAAAGTTATATTCAATTGACTTACCAATTTTTGAACTTTTTCTAAATTTGAATTGAATTTTTTTATTTGATATGCGCAAGTTTTTAAGTCTTCAATTAGACGTGATATATTTTCATAATCAGCAATCAAGTCATCAACTTTATCTTGAAATTCCGATACAGTATTTGCGAATTCTCGGACAAAAGTAACATGTTGATTCTCAGGAGAATCTAGTGCTCCACGGAAATTACGATCATAAGTGTCCACAAAGTATTTCCATTCAAAAGTAATGCCTTTAGCGATCATAGATTGTACACCATTGCGATAACTGGCTACCAACATGATGATATCAGGATGTTTTTGAACCTTTTGAACCGTTTGAGCATAAGTTCTAACTGTCTCCATAAGACTTACAGCGAAAGGATATACACGCTTGGCAACTTTTGCACTAGTGCTTATATTGTGTGGTACTTGGTGATTTAACCATAATAAATTACGCACTTCTTTAAATAATGTAATTATTTGTGGATCAAAATTTACACCTAATTGAAGAATATTTCCTTGAGCACGATTTCGTGTAATTTCAAATAATCTTCCTGTCACGTTCAAATCACGACGATTAGAAATGTCTGTTTGCCAAGCTTCAAAGATCTATATAAAAATTTATATATGAGTATATTAGCAAAAGTAATAGAATTTTTTTTAACTCGTTAATTTTTAAAAAAATAAAATAAAATAAAATAAAAAAAAGAGACAATTACCGGTCTTGTGTCTAATTTCTTTTTAAAGTTATTGCTTTCAATTTGTAATTTTTGACCTTCTGCATACATCTCCCAACCTTTACCAAGAACATCTTCAACACGTTTCATATAAGTTTGTAATTGTCTTTCAATTTGACGAGCCCAAATCATAGCACCAGAGATAGCAGGAAGATCTCGAAGCTGAGCCATATGATTTGCTTCAGATTTTCGATATTGTTGAGTGAATTTTTCATGAAGTTTAGATATATCTTTTTTAACTCTGTCAATAAGCTCATTTTGATATTCTTGAATAGCACCTCGAATCTAATAATTTAATAAAATGTTTGATGTTGAGTATTATAATAATATATGAACAATCATTTTACTTAATGAACTTACTTTAGGTCTAACGAACAAAGCATTGAACTTTGAAAACACACGGAACATTTCATTAGCATTTTTACATGTACCAAGTCGATCTCGTAGACTTGCAATAATTTGATTTTCAACTCTTGAAACACGTTCATTATATGCATTTTCAGCTTGCATCCAGATTTCAGTGCCTTCAATAGAAACATCTAACACATCAATGTCCTTTACACTTTCATATGCTATTTTTACTTCTTCCATAGAATTAATATCATTCATGCTAACACCTTCTTCTTGTTGAGCTACAGTATTTTCACCTTCGACAACAATTTTTGTTGTACCCTTTGGTTGAGTCATGACTTTAACAATTGTTTGATGAAGTTGTTCATGTTGTTTTCTAAAATTCCTAACGAAAGTAACACGTTCTTGCAATTTATCATGGGCAGGGTTTATTTTGATTGGAATAAATTTATCAGAACGTTTACGCATAACGTCACGTGCTACATTAGTAAATTCTTTGATCATTTCGTCCCAGGTTTTAAAAACATTTTCAGCACCAGCCATAACTTTTTCAAATTCATCATATTCCATGTACATTAAACGACGACTACCCAAAACTTTTAATAATACATCATTTAAATCACGTGAAATGGCCTCAACAAGAGCAAGTGCTTTCTTGATTGGATATGGACTATTACAAAGAACAAATAATAAATTTAGTCATAGAAACAAAAGGAATAATGAGTAATAAAAACTACATAGTTAATGCTTACGATAATCTCATTTTCTTGGTGAAATGGGCAAAAACAACATTTAAAGCCTCTTGAATTTTCGCCACATCAGGAGCAGATAATAATTCACCGAGAGGAAAGTCTTTCATCAATTGATTGTATTTATGCACTGATATTGAAAGTGGAATGAATAATATTTTAATAAAATTATTTTAATAAAAAATTCGTCACAAAATATTGCCAAATATATGAATGAATACCTTTTTCTTTTGCTTCCTTTAATCCTGTATCAGCAATAAATGATACCGTGGCATGGAAACGTTTGGCATGTCTGAGAATGTCCAGTGTCAAAACTGTAATGATTAAGAAAGATTATGAAAGGATAAATAATGATTAGATGTACATATAATAAATTTATTACAACATAATTTATAGTAATTACCAATTTGATCGCTCTTAAGCTGTTCGTCAACACCTTCAAGAGCAGTTTCCATACTAAGCCAGAAATTTATTTCTTGCATAGCTGTTCCACTTGCAGGATCACGTGATAATTTTGTTACTTTTTGGATCTCCTTAATCCAACCGTTTACATCACCTTGAAGTTTATTCAAGAAAGCAGTATCACTAAGGTATGCAGGTTCGATATAGTCAACATGGGCCCTCCTGCCTTCTTGTTTACTCTATATAGAGTAACGTAAGTACGAAAAAATAAAGTTATTAATCAATCCATAACAAAAAAAAAGGTCAAAGCATAATAAAGATACCTTTTCAACAGCCTTTTGAACGACCGGATGAATGTTAAGAGAAATTTCAGGAATTTCAACGTTTTGTTGTAAATGAAGGAGAGATAATTCTAATTCTGCGATCTTCTTTTTTGTCATTGGGATACCTTTTTTTTTTTAAAGTATGGGTATGGAGGTTTGTTTATCATGTAAATTAAACAAAAATTATCTGAAGTACCAAATAAAAATTACCCATTTTATTATCATCGTGTTTTTTATTGCTCGTAACGCCTTCAGTATTAACACCTTTAGCGTTAACATAAGCATCGAAGTATGGCGCAACGGCATGATGAATACAAGAATGAAGAGCTTCATATGGGCTCACGTTAGTAGATCCAGATTCACTGGATGATGGGCCAGGTAAATTTAAGAATTGAATTTGTGATTGTACAGGACGATTTGGATCTAAGTTTGAAGAATGCTTGATGATAGCGACAGACGCGACATTATTCAGATGATAAATGATTTCTTGCGAGATAGTATATACATATGAGACCACTAATGGATCATCTAATAAAAAATAAAAAATAATAATAGTAAAAATTTTTAGATCATATATATTGAATCCATATTCAATCTTGGCTTTATATAAAATCTGAAGAATGGTTTGTTGTGGTAATAATAAATTTGTAATAACTTACCTTCTTCTTTTTTGTCTTCCTTTGACTTGGTTATATACAAAGCGTTAACTTGAGAATCGTTAGCGAAACGATTCAATTTTTCAAGATTTTCCGGACTTGACCATAAAGAGTCCTCTAAGTCTTTTTCCTCAGCCCCTAAGACCAAAGGAAGGAGTTTATTCAAATATTCTTTAAGTATAGTAGGCTCGAACGCGGGAGTATTGCTAGTATTTTGAGCCAAAGCTTCTCCCTCAAGAGTAGATGTTGGATCGTCAGCCATGATGATTCGAGAGACTCAAAGCAACTTGAAAATTGCTGATAGTATCACAATAAGAACCAGAACCTTTTATACTTGAAACTCAGTCCAGATTTGATCCAGATAATGCGATTGCAACTGATTTCACAATATATAAATGTTACAATTACTTAGGTGTAACGATACTTAACATCAAAATGTACAAGAACACTTGTGTAAGAGCAGAGCAGGGAGCCCAGTACTTATGTACATACATATTATTACTTTTAAAGTGAATATATTTGTTTGACGATTTCCCCCGAGGGGTCTATTGAGGAGCATATTTAGCATTTAGCTATACACAGTACCGATCGTGTAACCATTTTTATTGTTATGCATATAAACATTTTATGTTAAACCGTTTTTTCCGGGTAGTTCTGTAGTTGTTGCAAGTCACGTGAATAAGAACTATGCATGCAGGAACTACAGTAACGTGGCATTCATGTAACAACAAGCTCGGTAAAATTGCGAGCTCTAACTATATATATACATAAAACCTTTACATCTTTACTGCACTAAAATACAGTAACAATTTCATGTAATGGCGCTAAAATTTGGCGGTAAACCTGATTGTAACAATTAAGTCCGCAGTAAAGAAAAAAAAATTAGTAATTTACTATGGTTCTATTGTTTCTATTTTGTATATATTAATAACGTTAAAGCAGTCACAAATTTTTGCGCAACTGCCCCCAAGAACACCAAAAAGGTTCGGTACCGTGACCTTGTACTTTTGTGCTACATGTTTTAAGGCTGTTAATGACCCCGAAGCAAGCTAGGGGTATAAACTACTCTATATAAGAATATATACATAGTGGTAAATTGGATGAACATGAATCAACTATAAACATTTTTGGAGATATAACTAAGGTAGGGATATAACTCAATATATAAAATATATAAAAACATATAAAAAAGAGGAAATTTGTCTTGCTTAAATATGGGGATATAACACAGGTTGGGATATAACTCAGGTATGACTGTAATATTAAGAGTTACTTAATAATATGCTTTATATGCTATAAAATTTAATTCGGAATAACAACCTGGAGTAGTAACTTTCGGCGTAGTGTAGTTTTGGTGTTTATTCTGACAGAGTATGCTCTGAATTACTCCATTAACAGCTCTAACATGTTGATCGATATGTTAAATCATGATTAGCTACAGTACGAGACAGTTAAAGGTATCCAATTTTTTTTAAATTAACTTATTAAAACAAGTTAAAATAAAAATCACTCTTTCAAATTTGTTGTTTTTTATTTTAATAACAAATCTGAAAGAGGGTTTTTAAAAATTTTAATTTTATAAAAGTAATAACAAAATTTGGCGTTTATATATAATTTTAAGAAATTCGATTGGTTGAAATTTTATTTATCATTTTTATCATAAAAATTTTTCTAAAATTTGGCGCATCACGGAAAAAGTGGAAATCTTTAACAGTCCCGCACTGTACTTGTTTTTTTTTCAACGGCTGCTTAATTTTTTAAAAATTTAACCTATTTAATCAAATTTATCGAATTTGGACAATTGGTTGCCAAGATATATTCGCCCAAAGTTTTGAAGAATTGGTTACAACTTTTAATAAACGATTAACTTTTTAGGCTTTTTGAGTAATAATATATATATTTATCGATTTGGTTAGGTGGTCAATATGTTTTATATCAACTATTTAGGTAAAGGTATCTCAACAAATCCGATGATATATGGGGTGCGGACAATAGAAACAGCCCATTTTTACATTTTTTTTGAAAATTGAGTTTTTATTAGATTCATATAAATTTTGACATGATTAACATTTTTCAATTATAAATGAAAGT